ACAACATCTGGTTGAGGGCCGCGGATGTGGCGGCGTCTATGTCACCGGCCAAAGCGTCCATAGATGGTATCGGCTTGGGTTGGTTCGTCTGATCAGGTTGGGGCGTGTTGGATTTTTCTGCACTCGAACTGATGACCGTGGCAGAGCTCTTCGGTGGCGCCAACTTAGATTCTCTTGTCTTTGGAGATGGTAACTTTTTCTGATCGTTTTCAATAATCATTTGCTCCAACTGTGACAGCGCCACGACGCTTATATCTGGATCTTGCAAGACCGAGGGAAAAGCGAACGCCGCCGGCAGCATTAATTCCGGTCTCTGCATCAATAACCTCGGTATTTCTTTGCCTGGGGCCGCAATGATCGCGTTAAGCTTATCCTTAGGGACTAAAAGGGGATCTGGAATGTTAAATTCGGAACTTGTTATCAAAAGATGTAATTGTTTCAACGGGGGTGTCTCGCCGGTCGGTTTTTGGGCGACTCTTTCAGGCTTTTTAGATCTATCGACGCTTTGATCTTCACTGCACCTATTAAAAACTTTAGTTATTTTGACGAGGTCCTCGTTAGACTCTCTTCTAATTTTTTTCTCCTGTGGCTCACCGAATTCTTTATTAAGTTTTCGCATTTCATCAGAACAGCTGGAGACCGTGGGGCTGGCCGATTTTCTATGTTTACCCAAATTTAAGGGCTCGCATTGCTGTTTTGTTATCGTGACCTCCGATGTATACATTTTAGGCGAGGGCGAAGAAAGCAACGTTTCCAAAAATAAGGTTTGTTTACTTTTTGTTAGTGGCATAGTAAATATTTCTGGCGAGGATGGTACGGCAGGAATCCCGCTCGGTTGCGGCGACTGCATCGCATCCGACTCTCTCGAGGGCGCCCGTGGTATGTCCATCCTGCGCGGCGACGCATGCGGAGTGGGTAAACGCCGATGCACACTTAAATCTTTAGGTTGTTCGTCACTTTTCTCTGAAAGATTGTCCTCCATAGCGTTAGTCGTGTGAGCATCGCTCGCCACCACGTGTTGGATTATTCCCTTATCGAAGCTCTTTATGCTCAGGTCGGTGGGCATTTCGTCATTGCTAATATCGTCCATATCTTTGATATTGTCTGTGCCGTGTATTGCGGATGCCATCACTTCCTCGTTGCACGTTTGCTCGTCGGGTACGCATTTCTCCTCCATGTGATCGGCAGCTTCCGTGTCATTGCTAGGCTCATTCACTTCACTAATATCGGAGTACGCGGGCTCCGTCAAATCTCTTCGTTGCTCATCAAACGATTTTTCTATGTAGGTCCCACTGGGATCAGGTACGGGTTCAGTATACATCGTATCATTTGATATGACGTCATTTTGTAGCATCTTTTCGGCACTATGGTCAAATCCTATATTGCTCACTTCATTCGTCCCTCTCATATCCGTATTGCCACTTATGGTTTCTAGTGAACATTCGGTTCGATCCTCACGTGGGAACACTTGATCCGGTATAAACGTCGGCTCAACCGTTTGCCGGTGCTCGGGTGGTGGTAAGTGATCTCCTATATGGTGTAGATGCAACAGGCCTTGCGCCGCAGTAATGCTGCTTTGCCCTGGAGACTCAAGCGACTGTTCCAGCCGGTCGATGATGTCAGCGACCGGGGCTTCACCGAGCAACATGTCCTCTTCCTCATCGGCGTACTCGCCAGACCCGTGCACGAGGTGCGCCAACTTGTCTAGCGCTTGCCCGAGAATCTGGTTGTCCTCGCAACCTTTTTCGACCAACGACTCCAGCAAAGTCTCGTCGTGTGGTCCGTCCAGTTCCGGGAGGTAGTGCGCCTCACTGATGGTCTCGAATAGGTCCTTGTGGGCGGCAACGTCGC